GAAGCAGGGGGAAATCCCTTTGCTAATTGGAGTCATATCTAGCACAAATGAAGATGGTTGTAGTTGTTGGAGTTTGATTATCTCAGTTCCTGGATGTCTCTGCAGGAGTGTCTTAGGATAGTGTTCAAGGTCCAACCATCTTCAGCTGCTTCATTAATGTCATTTTCTCCATCATAAGGTCAGAAAAAAAAGTTTGCTTATGATAGTACAATGTTCAAAACATTTGCAACTGTCAGACATTGAAGCAGTCCATGTCCAAATGCAGCAAGACCTACACAATATCCAGGTATAGGCTGTGAAATGGCAAGCAACGTTTTTACCTCACAAATATCAGGCAATGACTATCTCGAGAGAGAATGTACCCATCACCCCTTGACATTCATTGAGATCAACATTAATAAAATCCCCACTATCAACAACTATTGACCAGAAACTAAGCTGGACTAGCTATGTAAACAATGTGGCTACAAAAACAGGTCAGAGGCCAGCAATCACCCTGACTCCCCAAAGCTTGTATGCAATCAACAAGGCATAGTTCCAGCAATATTTAAGCTTGATGCCATCCAAAACATAGCAGCCCATCTTGATTGGCACCACAGCCACAAACATCCACTCCCTCCACAACCAATGCTAAGTCACAGCAGTGTGTATGATCTACACTGCAGAAATTCTTCAATGCTCCTTCGACAGCCCCTTTCAAACCTAATGACCACTGTCATCCAGAGGGTAAGTGCTGCAGATACATGGGAACACCACCATCTTTAAACCACTCACCATCTTGACTTGGAAATATATTGCCATATCTCCAGTGTCACCGGGTCGAAATTCCAGGACTCCCTTTCTAACTACATTGTGAGTGTACCTAAACCAAATGGATTGCAATGGCTCAAGCTGACAACTCGCCAGAACCTTCTCAAGGTCAACTAGGGTTGTCAATGAATGTGAATAAATAAACCCCACAACACATGACTGTTTAAAAGGAAAACCCATTGTACTCCTTTCTTGATTTTCCCTTTCATTGAAGTTGAAGCTTAAAATTGTCCATGTATTTAACCCAATAAACGTTCAACATCTCTGTTAGTTCCTAGTTACAAGGTTTGAAAAGAGCTTGCGTTGTGATTTCTGTTTGAAGCATACTTACCTCTAGAGTGTAAGTACCAACCAATAGCCTGTCCATTATTCTTAAAATTACGATTGTGATTGCTTGTTGGTCTCTTGTTATGTTACACTTGAGTCCAGTTTAATCCTCACCCAAGCATACTTTCCAGTGACCATCAATCATTCTTGTTTGTACAATTTAGTAATTTTTTAAAATATTATTAAGTTTATAAATGCTTCTTGATGAGAAACAGACATGTGTTCTGAAAGTGGGAACCCCGACTGATTTTTCCTCTCATTAATCACATTGCTATGTTCAGTCTTAGCATCCCAGCTGAGATCAGTTACCGTAGTGTAGTCCAAGGATGAAGCCTAGGCCTCTTGGTCTGTATGATTCAGTATGAGTACCACACAACATGGAATAGGGCAGCAGTCATACCTCTTCCAAACTGGCAAAATTAAATGTTATGTCTTACTAGCATTGTAGGTGTCTCAGAGATATTTTGCCTGACTTAAATTAGTGTCTGTGCAGATATAGCAAGTCATTCTTGACATTAAATCAATAATATACTGAATACATAAAGTTCATCGATTCCTAAATGCCACAAATTATTCTTAATTCTGAAGATGTAATACTGACTACAGGTGAGAGAATACTCAGGAAAGCCAAAGGCAGTGGCCAATAGTTAGGACTGGCCACCATGTTGGCGACCAAGATCCTTCTCTCATTGGAGTTCTTCCTCACATTGTGATTATGTATGGCAGAGCAGTAAAGTCAACTCCTGACTAAAGTGTGCAAGAATTATTAGCTTTTTACAGTAACTTCTGGAATTCATTGCTCATAGTGCAATATGGTCTCTATAATATTAAGTTATAACAATTTACAAGCAATTTAATCTGCTTCAAAAGCTGTTATTGATTTATTTTAAACACATGCTCAGCAGATCTGTTTCATGAAATTTGTAAACAAGGATTGCAGTACAACCACCTTAGAATAAAAAAAATCTAGTTCAGTTTTTTTTAACAAATTCAGTTGCATAGTAAGTAACATACCAGCTTCAGCATTTTTGAAAGTTTGATTGCAGACTTCAGGGGGTCTCCGATTACGAATCCTCGTACTCATGAATGCGATCCCATACAGGGTGTAATTTTAAATATCCGGCATACAAATATTTCCTGTACTTACAAACAGCTACTTTGTCCTGCATTGTGTTCCAAATTGCATACTAATCAACTTGTAAACAGATTCAGAAACAGAACCCATTCACAACCTGGGGTGCTGCCTGTAAGTGTGTTATGCAATTTGCCAAAAGAAAATTATTTGTTTTTATTCAATGGGAAGTTTATTGCACTCTAAGTTGTACATCCTTGCCATTTTCATATAATGAAGTACATTCTTAAATTGATGCATTAATTGTCTATCACAAATATTAAAACTAATGTAAATATATACTAAAATGTTTGTGGTTGTATACCACACACAATATGAGGTATTCTAATCATTGAACACACATCCCTCTACTCAAGTGTGCAATGGCTCTGATTTCCTGGGTCACACAGTCAGGAGAAGTCCTGCCTTCATGCACCCAACCTTTACAAATGTCTACTGCTTCTGATTTTCGGTTTGTATTCAGATATATTGGGAATCCGGCCATATGGCTTGTGAAGCGTTTAAGAGGCTGCCAGTTTCCAAGGCTGAATCCCACGATGCTGCCAGTTCCCAAGCAGGACTGGATGGAAATCCTGCGACAGGGGCTGCAACACTGTGTTTAAAATTTGATAATAAAAATTAAAGCAGGAAACAATCCTCTTGCTCTCATGGACAAGACTGTCCTCACTCTCCTCACTTTCAGTGCCACATCAATGGCAATCTTGTCTGAAGAAGGTTCTGATGAAGGGTCACTGGACCTGAAATGTTAACTCTGCTTTCTCTCCATGGATGCTGCCAGGCCTGCTGAGTTTTTCGAGCAATTTCCATTTTTGCTTCTGATTTTCAGGATCTGCAGTTCTTTGGTTTTTCTGTTCATTGTAAACTGATGTCCCTGAAACAACCTCCCATGGTCTCTCATACTTCTTGTGTTAACCTATGTTCATCAATAGATCATAACTCCATGCCCAACTACCCATATCCCATGACTTCTCGTATCCCGTATGCAAATCTACCTATCTTATTTCACAGTCAACATGTCCCCAATTATCCCCATGGCTCTTTATACCCCGGTGCTAAATCAGTACCAACACAGCCACATGGACTACGCTTTCCATTTCCCTTTCCCTGACAACTCAGCTGCTATCCAGCATGGACATCATTCAAGAGGCATCCTTACAAAAAATAAAGTTACCAGCCTGTTTAAGATATAATAATTGAATAAAACACACTCCATTGATTTCCTTCAACAAAAGAAATGAGATTTCTTCAATTAATCCCAATGAAAACAAATATTCCACTTAAGCGTTAACTATCTTGTTGAAATAAACAGCTAACTTAAGTGTTTGATCGTGTGTGCCAACAAACATTTCCATTCGCTAAGCAATTGGAGTTATTCATCAATGGGCACCCAACTGTGAACATTATGGTTTGGGAAATTGGTCATACAGCACAAAGCTATGATGGTTTTATATGAACAGGCATTCTAAAATAACTAGCACAACTGTTGTTTTGTTTTGTAAACTCCACATTCTTTGGGACAGTTTCTTGACAACTTTGCCAGTCCTAGTTAGTTCATGCACTTTTACACACAAGCAAGTCTTTTTGCAACCCAAAGGGTATCTTACCTCTGCCAATTCCAGATCCAAAGGGATACCTTATCTCTCCAATAGGAGACCAATCTAAAATATTCCTTCAGCACTTACCCTTCAAAACCTATTCATTTCCCTGCTTTGCCCACTCTTATCATCCAACCCATGCAACATAATAGCATCCACCTGTCTCCCATGATCCTTCATATCACTATGCCGGCTTACTGACTCCTTCCACACACTATTCGTTTCCTGTTTGCTCACCATGCCAAACTATTAAGTATCCACCATTACCCATCCACTGATGTACCTTGGTTCTCAATGAAATGCATTAAGAATAGACTGCTCTTTTCTGGTCTAATCTCCACACTCGAGTTTCCAAACACCAGGAACTCCAAAATCAAATTTCAACGTGCAGCAGCAGCCTCTGGAAACTGCATATGTGCAAACTAGAAGATATTCCTATAAAAATGAGAAAAGCCAAGTTCTGAGTTTCTTAACATCGACTGGCATTTTCACTGCCATGGAGATGTTTTCCAACATGTTGAACGTTGGGGCTGATGTCTTTCTTGCTTAAATTTACTTTCACTTTTAGGTAATAATGGTCCTATTTAATTGCTTCTAGCTCTGTCATTGAGATGACAAGGCTTCATAAGATTATGACTACTTTATTCTACAAACTGCATTCTGAAGGGAAAGGTTTATCTTATATTGGAAAAAAAATGAAATTCATAGACTTTATCAAATGGTGACACATTAATGACCTGCATTAGTAAAGTCATTTCCACCTATCACACCTCTTGGATTATTACATGACTCCCTGAGAGATATGATCATTTTAATTGTGATTTTTTTTTGATACAACTAGATTTTATTCTACATATTTTATGCACTTAAAATGTCACACATCTGTAGTATATTTCATGCAAAGAATACTATCTCAAAATTAGATCAATGCAATCAAAGAGCTTCTCATACTAAATGGTTGTAGTGACTGACAGTGTGAGAACATCTGTTGAAAGGATTTATTGACTTGGCTTTAAGTCTTCACAGTGTTTATTATGGTTCTGACCTAATGAACTTAATTTGTTGACATGTTTCTCCAAGTGTCTTATTTGATCCCTCTCACATTTCTTCCTACTGTGTTGTTTCTATGGCAACAGCAGCTTCTGGATCATCAGCATATCCACCAAGTTCGACTGTACCAAGCTCAGATGGCTGTGGTTGGCATGACAGGATTAGACAAGCAAAGGCCTGTTTCCAGGACACAGTCATCCCCTGCTGCTTCCACATTGCCGCATTCTTCTATGGACCATCCCATCAGACACGTCTATACCACTGGTAGGAGCCCCAAAGGAATTCTTTAATAGGTGTTTTAAATTCAATATTCTTATGAGCTCAACAAATTCCAATGCTGTAATACCACAAATTGCACTTTTGTTACACTTCTGTTATTATATGCTTTATTTACTGTTTGCTGTCACACAAACCCTCAATTATTTGAAATCAATGATTAACTAACCAGTCAGTATTAGTTTGCTTTATATTCTTTGTTTAATCTTACCTGTACACCCCCATTCTATTTCAAATTAAATGAAGCCTGAATTTATCCTGTGTTATGACTGCTACCGGATATTTTGCTTGAATGTGCTGAATATATTCTTCACTAGAGAACTGCACCTCAGCAAAGCACTCAGTTATTGCCTTATTCTTTGATCAGTTCCCTAATCCAGCATGTCATTCACACACTGCATCTATACCACCAATTAAACTCGGTATACCTTCGCTTTTGCTCCTTTATCTTCCCCTATTAGATTTAGCTGACATGAAATTTTAGCATATGGAAAGAAATCCAATGTGTAAGCTTAGCTCAAAAGGATCACTGCTTTTTTTTCTCTCTGGACCAGAAAAACATAAACATATGAAATTCCCTGGCCCACAATACCTGGAACCAATAGACCAAACAAAACTGACAAATCTTTCAGCACAGGTGAGGAGAGTCAAAGCCAAGTGATCATATGGCATGTTATTTGGAAATTTACAAAAAGACTAGAAGCACATTGGGTACAATACAAATAAATAAGGATCACCACAGCAAAACTGAAACAATGCCAATAATTGCTGTTTTGACTAATGGGAATTTATGTTTTTTTAAAGGGCATGTTGCTTTACAGAATTGACTTCTTTATTTGGTAGACCCATTGCATTTAATACTGCTGAAGTTATGTTCTTTGAATTTCTAGCAATTGATGTTTGAATGTAGTTAGGAATGTACAAATTTAGTAGGAAATGCATAAGTGTGCGCTCAGAAAATAAACAGCAATTTGTAATTTTGCCCTGCCTTTAATTTTGGAGCTCAAAAATTATTGAATGAAATTTATTTGTTTGATTTGTTGATTTTCTAAACTAACTGGTAAATAACGTTTTACAGATTTTAACCTTACATAACTCATTAGGTGCAATTTAATATTTTGCTGCAGCAATGTGCTGTTTTGTCACTACTAAAAGGAGTGTTTAGCTTTTATAGAAATTCACAGTCTGCTATTGAGTTGCATTGAATTTGTATGCTTCAGAACATTTTGTTGGAACAATTTAGTACCAACATACCATCAATGCAATAGGTTAGCCAAAAAATTATGGTTAACTATACTGTTCACCATAAAAAAAAGGAAAGCTCCCATTGAGAGGTTTCTCCTCTGTTGTTATAGACCTTTTTCATATGGTTTTCAAATAACAAAAAAAAATGCTTTTAAGTTTGAGGGAGGACTTGATTCTCCAGCTTTATTTTGTATTCCTGAATTTATGATAAATAGCATAAGTTTAAAATAAGAATAAAATATTCTAAAGATGATGCCAACTGTAACCATTTGTACCAGCTGGTATTGCCTGTCTGTCTGTTACTGGTTGCGCGCAATCGGTGATTTCATTTCATTTGTGGGTAACACTGGAATATATTATTTTTACTGTTGTAATGTCCTCCTAAAAAAAAGGGGTAAAGCTTCCGTAGACATTTTCCTGATTTCTTGCTGAAATTTGGATACAGGAATGGCAGAAGTGCTTGAGAAATATTTTGCACAGCTGAAAAAATGTCTAAATATTCTCTGAGATAGCAGGAACTGCAGATGCTGGAGAATCTGAGATAACAAGGTGTAGAGCTGGATGAACACAGCAGGCCAAGCAGCATCA